ATCTACCAACTACTGACCACGTTCTTGGGCCAAGTGTGGGGCCTTCGTGTTTATTTTCTGACTCATGCACTAATTGGCCACTGTTGGGCGCAGGCGCTCAACATACCATACTCCACCCGGGACTAAGGACCACGCCAGCTAACCCTAACCCTAACCCTAACCCTCTTTAAATTAGCCAACCCGTGCGCACTTCGTGCTCACTCCGTACTCTGTGGCAACTCCTGATTGGCCACAGCTGGATATGGTAGCCGGAGCCTGCATCCCATTCCCGCCCTGCTTCCTTGTGGCAGCCTGTGATTGGCCACGGCCAAATATATAAACCAGAGCCCGCGTAAATAAAGCAGCAGTTAACTGTCGTCCACAAAAGCATCTCCTGTCTCCTGTTTCATTGAGGCTGCGCCGGTCAGGCCACGCTGGTTCTTTTTATGTCTGCTGGGTCATGAGATTCCCAGATACGGTGAAGCATTGTTTCTGGATGTATCTGCGAAGGTGTGTGTACAGGAGATTAGCTTTCAAGTTGGTGTAGTAAGGAAAGCTGATGGACCAGTGTAGTGGGTGCCATCAACTGAGAGCCTAAAGAGAAGCAAAAGGAAAAGGAAAGTGGAATTCGCTTCAAAAGAAGGCGGAATCCAGGCAGCATCTCAACCTGGTAGACAAAGACAACTCAGTCTTGCTTTGCCTGCCAGTCAGTTGGAGCTGGAATCCAGGCAGCATCTCAACCTGGTAGACAAAGACAACTCAGTCTTGCTTTGCCTGCCAGTCAGTTGGAGCTGCTGCCTAAAGTTTCTCCTACCACGGCACTGCTGGTTCCCAGGCTTTCAGCGCTGGACAGAAGCAACAGCACAGGCTCCCCAGCTTCTGCACCTCTGGGCCACACCAGCATGCTCCTGAGTCTCCACAGCAGGTAGGAACCCTCAGTCACCATAATTACACGATCCAGTATCTGATGATAAATCTCTTCCTATGTGCCAACAGGCAAATATATGCACAAATACAGGTATATAACCTATACACATTCACAGAGGTATTCATAGAAACCTTTGCATACAGATAGAGACAGAGCAGGTATATATCTACCATACAGAAACATATTAGAGAAAGCCCTGATTAACATGGAAAGAGCTGCATTTAATCTAATTATGAATTCAACTCAGGGTGATCCTCCTGCCTCAGGCTCCCAAGTGTTGGCAAGTATGACAGACTGATCATTGGCAGTTACCTGATCGTCCTGGAGAGCTCAGGGGAACTTTTTGATGTTTTGTACACGAGACAATAAATTCTAAACTCGGACAATCATTAACCATAGAAAAAGAGGTGAGTCTGAGCACTGTAAAAATGAACCATTTTAATATTCAGTAAAAAGATGCCCACTGAAATTGGCAATTTTAAAACTTCCAAGAAATGCGAGAGACATTTATATTAATAATAAAATTTGCTGTTGATATGCAGTGTAGAGGCAAAAATGCAAGAGACTGTCCACATAAGCACTTCGTTTCTAAAAAATTCTCTTAATTATTAATGAGTATTCATTTCGCAGTTAAGGAGTTTGACCCTGACATTTCCACACATTCATACATCAATTTTGATCTTCCCCCCTCTTTTCTATAATTTGTCACCTGAACACTTCTAAACAATTTAATCACTTCATTATGCGCACAGTGTTACTGCCTCAGCCCGCTTTCTCCCTGCTCAGACTGAATGCTCAGCACTCACAACCTAAAGCAGTGACACAGGGGAATGAAATCCCCAGCCTACTGTAGGTCCATTTCGAGTTGGTGTTCTCGCAAATGAAGAAGGAACTTTGGAACAATGAAGGTTAAGAGTAGAAATATTTATGGAGAGAAAAATGCTTCTGCTGAGAGACAGGAGTGCAGAGTGGGTTGCCACCGACTCTGTCTTTTCTAGGGACTTTTATAGAGTAAAACCAGGAGGCCAGATGGACTCCAGGGGGGGAAACATGAGAACTCACAGGGTGGGCATGAGGTGGGACAGAACTACGGTCAACCAATAAGATTAACTGCTCCGGTGAAATTGATTAAATGGGGAACAAATGGGGAAGCTAGTCATGTAGATGGGGCAGGCTTAAAGACCTGTGACTGCCCATAAGGGGTTGGGTAGTGACTCCTGCCTTCCCCAGGGCGATAGAGACCTGTTTAGAATACCAGTCCTTAGGATGTTCCTGCATTTGTTTAATCTTCTGTCTTGAAGTCTGGCTCACATTGGGAGACGTCTGTCTCCCCCACAACTGCAGGGTATCTGGGCTTCTGCATTGCTCCTTCTGGTACTTAGCCCTGTCTGACTGCCCGTAACACATCTACCTCACTCAGAAGCCTGTAACAGAAGGAGGGGTCTATGTTAGCTGACAGCTTCAGAAGACCAGGTCCTTACTGGACACAAGAAAATGGATGTTCTTGGGCTCCCAACATCCAGAAGTCTGATACATAAATTTCTGTTATAATACATTATCCAATCTGAGGTACATTTTTTACAACAACTAAAAATGGAATAGAGAAGAAAATGTGAGAAAAGTATTACTTTTTTTAATCTTTGAAGATCCCAACACTAACTTTAAATATCATCATAAAAACTCCACTGAATGGTTCGGTGGAGAAATTATTCAGGCTCTTGCTTTTTACATAAAGCAAAATATACATGGTAGTAAAATAAACAAACAATCAATCAAAATAATCACACCAAAGAAGCATTTCTGGAAACCAGCTAAATTCATTTCAACATGATTTGGTGTGTATCCATCTGTTAATCTCTTGGAAACGTTTATATCTTGGGAGACGACAAATTATCCCTATAATGTAAGGAATGGTAGCAAGTAATATCAAAAGTACCTGGAGTTAGAATCACTTAAAATTGTTTATTTTATCAAAGAAAGCTTTGACCCAATATTAAGAAATCACTAATTATAAAAAAATTAAGAAACCAAGGAGAAACTTTAAAAATATATAGGATGAATTGAAATTGGCTTATCTCTTTATGTGTTATTCCGCTTCATGGTTATCTGCCAGGATTGTTTGTTTGCTCTGTAATTTATTCATTAAATTGCAGGCAGAAAAATGACAGCATCCAGTCAAATGAGTTCAGCTAAGAAAAATAGCCCATCATCTCTCAGCCCGAACCCCAATGATGATCAGATCGTGTGGTTCCCCCGTGAATGCAAAACACTGCAAGGATGGAGAAGAGGGCGCCCTCATTAGAAAAAGACAACTGACCGTGTGTCATGGTTTATGGAGGTGGCCCAGGCCTCATGCGTTTACATTATGCATCTGCGATTGGTTCATTGTGCAGCACTAGGATTGATGGTGTCAGTGCTCCACCTACATAGGGGTGGAGCCAGGGTGTGATGGAAAGGCAGGAAGCAGGCGTGTCTTGCTCTTTTGCAGGTTTTCTGCCTTGCTGTTTGCAGCCGCCATGAACTGCAGCCCCACCATGGCATCCTGCCTTGGAGCCAACTGAGTGCGGACTGAAACCTCCAAACACTGTAAGAAATAAACCTTTCCTTTCCCAACTTTGGGCATCAGGTATTTTGTCTTAAATGAGTTAAAAGTCACTAAGACACCATGAGTGCAAGGTGATATCAAAGAAAGATAAGCTTCCCTGTGGTCAGCTCCCAGAATTTTGAAGTTATTGCAGGAGTTAATGCATTCTGATCAAACTGTCAAAGCAATTACAGAAATATATAGTCTGGAAGTATCACTCAGGAAAAGTGTATATAAATTGTATTCACAGATTATTTTATAATTATATGATTTACTAATAAAGTAATAATTAATCCATAGTAACTGAAAAGAAGTATGTTTGCTTCTATCTTCACTATGCAAAACTTTATTTCAGTGTGAAAAGGAAATTTTTAAAAACTTTTACTCAAACAGCTGACCCACCGGGAAGCTGTGCATGCTGGGAGTTAAAGTCAGTGACACTGCCCTACTGCCTCGATTGAGTAATTATGCTTACATAAAAATATAAATTTAAAAATTACTAAAATACTACTAACATGATAGAAAAACACAGGTAGAAATATTTACCTTTAACACTGAAGTGTAAAAATAACTTTACACAGGAAATATACCATGAACTGGGTTTTAAATCATCAGTTTTCTGGACAGCAGTTAACCTGAGATGCAGATATATAATATTTATTTCTATAACACTTTAAAGTATTGTTTCCCTCCTAATCAGGAATGTGACCTCTGCAAATGCTGAGTCAAATGTTGAAAACAGTGTGTATCTGAGAGAAAGTGTTAAACAGGAAAATCCACAGACGATGTTATTTTATTACATAGAGTAACTATGGTAAAAATGGATAAAAAAATCCACTGGGTCATGTGATGTAACAGATGTCAGCAAATTGTGATGGGCCGAACTTGACTTGCTACCAAATTATATATAAAGTTTTATTGGAACAGTTATGTTCAGTGATTTACAAATAGTAAAAGCTAAAAACATTTCTATGTAGACATATTCAGTCACAACTGCAGAAAGTTTACTAAAAGTAGGTCGTATATTAAAATAGATCATCAAGATGGAAGTCCAGTAAGGAAGACATGAAACCCTCATAGACATGTAGGAAAAAATAAGACTCTGATGAATTAGCCAAATAATAAGTAAAAAATAGACTTTTTATTATTATAGTAGATAATCATAGTATAACTTCATTTAGTAGATCTGGTTTGAAAGTCAACCAAATTAATAAGCAGGGGTAAGATCTTGAATCTCAGTGAAGAATAAATAATATTCTTTTAGAAAATTTTATAGTGACAGAAGTGAAAATCCTGTGGTAGCTATGTATGTGAATGATGAATTTATGAGATTCTACTTAGTACTTAATGCATTTATTAGTAAAAACTAGAGCATAATGAAAATTTAAGAATATCAGAGAAAACGTAGGTATAAAAAATATTAAACAAAAAGGTAGAAGTAATAGGAAAGCAGACATGAGAGGTGCCAGAGAGAAAAATCCAACAAACAGGTAATCGAATTTGCTTGAATAAGAAGATTGGTCTTTTTTTTTTTTTTTTTTTTTTTTTTTTTTTTTTTGTGAAGCTGATTAGAGTTAATGGTGGGTTACAGGATAGCTACAGTAAGATGTCCACATGTACATGGTGTCTTTTCTCTAGCTGTACTTTAGGAAGCTAATTGGTTTACTTGGAAGGGAAGCTGTCTACAGCCTGCCAATACCCCACACCAGCAACAAACGCCAGCACATGAATCTTTTAGAGACATGCCCAAAGCACCCCCCAAACACAGCAGCAGACCATAGAGAGTGGTAACTGTGGGTAATTAATGTTAGGGAAAGTGGGAGTTCAGGCACATAAGAATTAGTGAGGCTGGGGGTGAATTAACAGATGGTATGACACTCGGGAACTTCATGGCAGGGGAGAGGTGACAACCCACAAGCCCACTCTGCCAACTACTTACAGATGGAAGAGTAGAGGTCCTTATTGTTTCAGTTCAAGTGTGACAGACAGGTTGGCTGTGGGATTCCAGTGCCCTGTGCTGACGATACTGACCTTGGTGGAGGAGGGGAGCTGGTGCCAGACTCTTACCAGGCAGAACTCAGGACCAAGGCAGTCTGACTCTCAGGCTTGAGATTCTGGTCTACGTGACAAAGAGAAGGAGATTGGCACTCCTGGTTGGCTGGCAGTGAGTGGAGCCTGGGAGAAGAATGGGTAAGATGGGGACAGGCGACGCCTCCTCTTCCCTTCACCTTTCATTTTTAATAAGATATATACCAACTATACACTGCTAAGCGTAATTGGATATGCTTTAGAAAACGGTGAAAAATGATAGTTTTGCAAGATGATATGCGGATAAATAAAGGTGGCACTGATGGGGACAGGGTAAGGCGACCTCCGGGGTCCCATTCCATCACTGTGAACTACATTTTCCTTCTGTAGTACAAATGTCAAAGATGTGGAATTTATTCATCAGTTCCACAATTGTAAGTATGTGGTTACAATTAACGTGTGCCCCATTCACAGACATTACTGGCTCCTACTACGTGGCACAAGCCTGGGGTGTCAGAGGCTTTTTCAGGTGAGGGAGTGCAGAATGCCAACCCACCTGAATCTGGAAGCCACAGACCTGGAACAGGGACATCAGCAGAGGGTGTCAACACATGGAGGTGAGGTTACTTCCTAACGGAGGTCACTGGATTTAGGAGACAACTGTAGACCACAGTCCCTTCTCCCATTCCCCCAAGATGAAACACAAGGTGTCCCCACCGCCTCACTCCTATAAACCCGGGCCTGGAGCTCACCTCCGCTCCGCTCCGCGCGCAGCCTTCCAGCCCTGCAGATGACGGAAGGGAACCCTGGAAAGCGCCCAGGAAACTGCCCACCTGCCCCCCGCCAAGCTCCCCGAGGTCACGCCCGCGAGGACGCAGGACGGGGAGGCCTCCCCGGGGCGGATCGGGTGTGGGGCGCGGCCGCGCACGGCGGCTCCTCCCGGCTCGGGTGGGCGCGCACAGGGGGCGCCCTGCGGGGGCCGAGCGCGCGCGCTGGTCTGCGAACAAACCCCAGAACCGCGAGTGTGTGTGCTGCTTTGCAGTCACAGGCGGGGTTCAGGTCACTCTCCAGACACTCCCGAGGCCTGATCCTCCGGATTCTAAGTGTAAAGCGGGCTCAGGCCCCGCCGTGGGGGGGACCCCCGACCCGCACGCAGGAGGTCGGAACTCGGACTGGCTGCGCCCGCCCGGCTCGGCCTCCTCCGGGCTGCGCGCTCGCCGGCAGGAGGTTTCCCAGCTCTCGGGGGCGCCCCCCAGCGGCGGCCTGCGCTCTGCTCCAGGCCGAGTCCGGCTGCGCGGTTGCCCAATCAGAACCAGTGCGCCCCGCCCCCCCTGTCCCTGGGGTGACCGCCAGGGGCCTCTACTCACTTTATTCCCAAACTGTCAGGTTTATAATTAACGGAGCGAGATCTCGCCAAATGAATTTCTCATCAGTGTCTAGCTCAGAAAGAAATCAGCAAGATGTAGTATTACCTCGGCACCCTGAAATGTGACTTCTCTGATAAATAAGTGATCATCACTTATTAAATATCCTCTTTGATCTTTCCTATTGGGTCGCAGCAATTCTCTCAGAGAATCCATGAGATTGCAGTAGTTAAAGAATAGCCTAGAAAATTTGAATGAGCTGTGACCTGGAGACCTGAAGTGTTTTGGAAAATGCTACCTGCATTTCCTGTGGAAGGTACACTGTTGAAGGATTAGTATTTAAGGTCCATCTCATTGCCTTCGGTGGTAAGCCCTGGACCCACTCTAGCATCTCTGTGATTTCGTCTTTGAGAATCTCAAGACCCACAACATGTATTTTCTTTACAAAAGCACACGATTCCTTCCTTCTGTAAGGAATTCTCATTTTTTAACACATTATTTCATTCGATTTTTGCAGTAGCCTTTCGAGCATTTTTGTTGTTGTTTTGGGCATGTCTTGTTTTCTTTAAGACAGGGTCTCCTGTGCAGCCCACACTGGCCTTGAACTCACAGCAATCCTAAGAGAGAGTCATTCTCACTTGACAAAAGAGAAAAGAGGGCCGAGTATTTTTTAGAAGCTTCTCTGAGATCTGGGTTCAAACCTCCCTGTCTCCCTATAGCTTGATTAAGGAAGAGATGCTTCAGAAGGGAATTTCACTTTGCTTTATTTTTGGAAGATAACAATGCTGTACCTGTGGATATATCATGCAGAAAGTCTGTGGGTTTCACAGAATCACACACAAAAAAAGAGATGATAACAACTGGACGTCAACAACTGGGAAATTTATTCATAATAAAAACTTAAAATTACAGTCTGGACAAAATATTCTTGAGCGTATTTCAAGTTTAAGGTACAGATTTAAAAAAAATTTTTTTTGTTTAATGTATCTTTTTTTAAAGGTATAGTTAAGAATGCAAGATGCATTCTAGAAAGGAGAAAACGTTTTGAGTAAAGAGCAAAGACTGAGAGGTGAGAAATCAAGACTAGTGCTGGACTGTCCAGATCCAGCGCTCAGGGCTGTGCACAGGGAAGGGACAGCTGGGGTCCAGCAGCCTCAGGAGGCAAACGGGTACTTCCACCGCAGAATGGCCCCATCGGCGCTCACACTCACAATGTGCTTATTCCCCGGACTTATCCGGACGCGAGTGATGCTGCCGCTGTGACCCATCCCAACGTGAGTCACTTCCCCTTCGTTGTAGTCCCAGACTTTGACTAGATGGTCATGTCCACCTGAAAAACATGGTTAGGTGGCCCTGGAGGATAGAAACAGCTCCGGTTCCAAACAACCAGGTCATTTTCAACACAGTCTCCACGTGTCCACTTAAAAGAAGAATCTATACACATGTAAGACTTTTGCTTGATTATAAAAAATCTACATGTTTGCAGTAAGTTTGGGGGGTGAAGATACACAGAGAGGTGAAATCACGCTTCCTCCTACCAGGTAATAGCATTTTGGTTCAGTCCAAACAGCAGTATTTTCCCTAAAGGTCTACGCATACACCTAGGATTGGGATCACACCATGCTTAGTTCCTCTCATCCAGTCGATAGATTTGTGAAACTTTAATTCATTGATGTTGTTCTGGTATGTGTGTTGTATGGTAAAAATCTCCCCAGCATACTGGTTAATTCATTTATTTGGGGAGGGCTCCGTATCACTCAACAATGAAAGGAAACGAAAGAGACTGTTTGGGCTGAGCGTGTTGGCACCTGTGTAACCCCAAAACTCTGAAAAGCAAGGACTGAAGGGTACCAAGTTGAGCCCTAGTTGGGCAACTTGGTGACCTAATAAAACTCTGAGTCAAAATAAGAGAATGTAAAGAGTGCTTCAGATGTAGCTCACTGAGAGAGCTCTGGATTTGATACCTAGTACTGAGGAAAAAAAAATAGCGTGTAGGATTCAGTAGAAAATTGTACAGGAAGACACCTGGAGAGCCTGGAGGGTGGTGGCAAACCCAGGGCACACGTGCCACAGTGTATGTCTGTATCACTGAAAATGCTAAAAGGTTCACCATCGCTGGCCTGAGACATTTGAAGGCCCATTTCCACCATCGGTGCCCACAACAAAAAGCAGCACAAGGCTTCCCTTCTATTGGTGACACTGTGGTATCTATCCCGGCATTTCCTCTCACTGAAATGCCACTTTTGGATTTTTTCCCAGCCACACTGGTTGTCCTGTTGAGCCCCGCATCCCCCTTAACACCTCTTGCTAGCTATTCCAACGGCCTCTCACTAAATAACCACAACTGATTCTCTTTTCTTGTCCCAGGACTAACCTGTGACAAAGTGCGCTCCTTCCTGTGTGATATCCATACCGTTTATTGACCCAGACAAGGCACCTTCCAGCTCTCGGATAACTGTCCCATCAAATACTTCCCAGTAAGCAATCTGCAGGGCAGACAAGCAGCATTAGGCAGGACTCAGCTCGGTGGAAGCACCACACACATGCTAACAAAAGATAGTTCTACTTTATATAGAAGGTAGAAAAATACATCACGGGAAGCTATTGGCTGAAATTATAAATAGGCTGCAGCCGGGGGTGGAGAAGCCAGTCTAATATTTTTAGTATTGGTCTTTCAATTTGCATGCTATTTAAAGAGATGTTGATATGCTGATAAACCTGGATGGGGACAGAAAGAGCTTTGGATAAGACGAAGCAGATTGAGGGTAGCAAGATGTAAAGTGAACCAGAGACCAGCCTCTGCCTCTGCCTCTGCCTCCGCCGCAGCTCTCAGAGGAGGCTAGCAAAGCTACAGGCCTGCTGGGAGGAGAAGTCCCTTCTTTCCCGTGTGGGTTGCAGGGTTGGGAAAGATGGCTACAGAGAGCTCTAGAGACAGTGACCTGCACAGTCACGCACCCCACGCCAGCTGGCTGCTCTCTCTTCTGGAAACCACCCTCCTTCCCAACCTCCCCTGCAGCCCCAAAGCCATGAAACAGTCCACCGGGGTATCTTAAGGTGGGGTCTAAGGACAGACTGATTACGTTGGTTCCTGCAGGGGATGGGACTAGGTGAGAGGGATAAAGAGGTGGGTTTTCTTTGAATAATGGTCATGCATGGGTATCGGCCAGAAGGACATTTCCAGGGCCTTCCAAGAGCTATAAAATTCCATGAACATTCAGTCCCTTGTATAATATGTTATAGTGTTAGCAGAGACATATGAATATCCTCTCTTATATTTTTGCTTTTTCTTTTTTCAGATGAGTCTCACTGTGTAGCTCAGGCTTTCCTTGAACTCACTATCGAGTCCAGGCTGGCCTTAAACTCATGGCAACCCTCCTGTCTCAGCCTTCCAAGTGCTGGGATTACAGACGAGCACCGCCATGTCTGGCATCCTGTGTATCTGAAGTCATCTCTAGATTATTTGTACCACCTAATAGAACGTAGATGCTGTGTTATAATGTGTTTGAAGATAATGATGTAGAGAAAACAAGTCTGTACATGTTCGGTAGAGGTGTAAACTTTTTCCCAAAGTACTTTTGTCCTTCAGAGCTGATTTGAATGCGTGACTGTGGAGAGCCAGCTGTGCCCACCTTTCTGTCCGTCCCACTAGTGATGATCTGGAACTCTTCAGGGTGGTAACAAACACACTGGAATAAGGTGTTGGCCAGGATCATCTGATTCCTCTTAAGACGCCTGAAAAGTAGATTCAAAAGCTGGGAAAATCTACTTTCTCTGACCTGAAATTGCATTTACTATACCAGGTGCACCTGGCACAGGCTCACGCTTGGTTTGGTTTATCTTTCTCAGACTTGTCCCATGGCTCCTGGGAGACAGGTGCTGACAGCAGCCCTTGGAGTCTCCCATACAGATTTCTGGAGTGGGGATGTGGCTCGGCAGCTGAGTACCTGTTTCCCTGTGTGTGTGAAGCCCTGGGTGCAGTCCCCAGCATTGGGGGAATCTGACATCTGGTTACTCTGTCCTCTCTACGTCTGTCTCCTCCTGTGGCATCTGTCAGCAGCACTCAGAGAGCAGGGTCCCTTTCTAAAGACAGAGTGCAGAATTCAACGAGGAACCTTAAGTTCCAGATCAAGGGAAGTCAAAGGGGCCGCAGCACTCTCGGCCAATGTGCTGTCTCCTACACAATTACATTCATTCCCAAGGCCACCAATAGAGCCAGGTGGAGCCTCCCATAAGGTAAGTAGCGAAGAGTGGGGACAGATTTTTAATAGATGCTGTTGCCCCACCCCCAGAAATTTGGATGGGGTAGATTGGGAGGAGACCCAAAGATCCGCATTTGAACTCAGCATTCCAGCTGACTGTTACGTGCACTACAGTTTGAGAGCTCCTGTCTAAGGTGCTAGACAGGTTGTATGTTCCTTAACCAAAACGCTTAGGGCCAGAATTATTTTGGGTTTGGGAGTTCTAGGAGTTTGGGGAATACTGCATAAACTTTGCCAGTAGCACCGCATTTTGGAAAATACTGATCAGATTTTCAGATCAGTAGCAAGAAATACGTATCATTTCTCCTTCTATGAAGTGCTGGGGGTAACCTTCTCAAAGGCCCAGTTCTCCTGGCAAAACAAACAAGCAAAAACCAATCTCCTCTGGCACATTCTTCTCACTAGGAAGTTTCCAAATATGGAAGCTGAGCTGAGTTTTGAAGATTTTAGTACAGATACACCTAATATTCCTGCTGTGCAGCAGAAAGGCTCTAAGGATCTCAGGCAGTCACAAACTTAAACATTCCCTTGTTATTACACATTTTCCCGAAGGAAAGTCAAGTGTAGACTGATCC